TTGTACTGCATTTTTATACACTGTATTTTTTTTAAGAAAAGACTAAACTTTAAATAAAAATGAAAATGATGTACTTTTACTGGTACTTGCTTGTAAATTAAAGGGCTTTTGTTCAGAAAAAGATAAAGCTTCAACTGCTTCATCACAAGAATTATCTTTTTCCGGATATTTCCGGAATTCCGGATATTTTTAAATTTTTTTATATTTTTCGGATAATTAAATAATTTTCGAAAATACAATTTATAAAATTTTTTCTGTTTATTACTGTCATCAAATGAAACAGTAACAAGTAAATATAAACAGTAAATTTGTTGTCAATAAATTACGGAACGCTATATTTAGTTAACAAACAAAGCCAAAAAAAGATGAAAAGATTTCCCTCGCAGAGTAAACCAAAAATGAATAAGCATTTTAATCAAAGTTTAAGAAAAATCCCAGCGCAAAAGAGCGAATGATCTCCTACTTTTAAAATAAAATTAGCGATGCGTGTCAAACTCTTCTCCTTTTTAAAATTATTGTAAATTTACATTTTTTAACAAGCTCTTTTAGCTATTATCAAAGAGATTTCTTTTTTTATTGTTAAAAACTTTCTTTTTTCAAGTAAATCACTTCGCTTATGGACTGAATCTTTTTTCAGTTTGTTTGTCGGTGGTTCAAAATTTACTTCATCATTATTTCGTTTTCTGTCCAGTCGTACCATTGCAAGTCTCTTTTTGTACACACTTCTTGAAAGTATCATTTTTTCGCATAATTTCTTATTAATTGGAGACTTTAAAAAGTTTTGACGATGGTAGAATAAACGGTACTCGTTTAGAAATCAGTTTTTAATTTCCGTCAAATATGTGAAATATCGTTAAATTTAAACTCTTTTGAGATTAGTAAAATCTAATTCTAGAGAACAATGTATAGTTTGATCTAAGAATAAGAAATTTGGTATGACCTTCAACTAGTAGAAACTTCTATTAATCTTACAGTTACTATAATACCGTGGTGTAACATTATGGTCATGCGGTACAACTTGTTTTCGTAAAGGGTGAAAAAAACTTATAAAAAAAATTTATTATTACTGACTAAAATTAATTTCTTTGTTAGTAATAAGTTATTTCATACAAATAAGTGTTATATAATAAAACTATATTCTAAACTATAAGGATTTTATTCTATGTAATTATTTTAAAGAAATCTAAACATATGTACTTTGACTAAAGGTCAAGTGAATCAAATTGCTTTTAAATGCCATTACTAGGTTTTTAAAAACATCGCATTTCGAGGCACGTTTTCTTTTCAATTCAAAAAGCGCCTGTTAAAATTAATTATATTTTCTTAAAAAAAGTCACTTTTTTAAAAAGATTTAAAAATATGTTTTTTTTTTTAATTTAAAAGATTTTAAAAAAATCATTTTTTTAAATCTTTTAAATTTTGAATCGTATGAATGATCACGTGAATCATTAATAATGCCTCGCCTTTTGTTTATCATAGTTAAAATAAACTTAAAATTTAAACTTAAAATTTAAAAAGTTTAAACGAACGTTTAAACTTTTTTAGTTTTTGAACGTGGAGATTTTTTTATAAAAGAAGACTTTGTAAATTTAGTTTAAAACATTTTAAACTCTGAGGGAAGAACTAATTGTAGAAAACTAACTGATTACAGAAAAATAACTCAATATCTTTTTACTTTTTATTTATTTATTTTCTTTTTTAACATATTTATTACAATAGATTTCTAATTTTTTGTATTTTAGAAGTCTGGTGTTTATTATTATTATTAGTTCCTTTTTTTTTTTACTGCAATTGAAGTATGCTCCGAAAATAGTTAAAAAAAAATTCATTTATATTTTCCAAAAGTTGGTGTTTTACATGTAATAAAATGTTTACTGAAAGAAGTTGGCAAGCAAAAGTCTCGGATATATGTCGGTTTATTTTGTAAAATTACAACAAAAAAACCAAAACGCTCAAATAACGTCTATGGGATTTCAGTTATGGTGGCGCCTCTGATCTCTAACAACGCGTTAAACGTTTATCTATTTGTATATCTTTGGTGAATTAAAGCAATATTTCATTATCCATTATGTATTTAAATGTATAAGTGCATGTCTGAAAAAGTTTCCGCATTGTTTAACAGCATTTAAATATAGTCAAGATAGGGGGGTGTGGGCAAATGTCGTTATGGCATTCGGTAAATTTTAAAAAACGAGAACTCTTTTTTTTTTTTTTTTTTTTTTTTTTTTTTTTTTTTTTTTTTTTTTTTGAGCGGCAAAAGTTGTAATGGCACCCCCACCCCCTACGTGACCCCTACTCGCGCCGGCCCTGAATATAGTTTTCTACTTCTTCTTTGACTTTATCTTCTTCTTATTATTATTATTGTTAAAATTTTATCATTATTATTATTCTTTTTTTGATGAAAAAACTATGCAGTTTTTTATTTATCTATACGGTGAATAAGGATACTCTTAAACTGGCGTAATATTATAGTAATATAAAAGAATGGAGGAGAGCACGCCCCCTCCCTCCTTGTTAACATCTCTTTGTAAACTCCAGATTTTTTCCAGATATTACAAAAAAAATTTCCGGATTTTTTCCGGATATTTAAGGAAAAAAATTCTCCGGATTTTTATAATATGGCCAGGATAATCTATGTGTCATCAAGAATGTCTTTTAATTCTTACGACTGTGAATTTGTTTTTCCAGTCTTTAGAAAAAATTAATCAATGTATTTATTTGTTTTTTTATCCTCTCTCTCCATTTCTGATTTGCGTTTTCTATAAAAAAAAAATTCATATGTTGTTTTTTTCCGCCATGATGACTCAAAAACTTATTCTTACAAATAATTAACTAAGTACTACTTTTTGCTGTAATTATTTTTGTTCATTGAAGTGCAGAAGCAAATACATATAAAATTAATAGTTTAAAATAAAACCTTTGGCGCCCTCTTATGTAAGTTTACATTTAAATAAACATTTAACATGATTAAATAAACAATTAACTCACAAACTTAGATCGATCTAGTTATTTTCATTGAAGGGATTAAAAAAAAAAAAAAAAAAGGGATATTTTTTTTCATCGAAGGGATGAAAAAAAAAAAAAAAAAAGGGATATTTTTTTTCATTGAAGGGATGAAAAAAAAAAAAAATCGTTAGTCTAGCATATAAAGATTGGCGCCCCTAATATGTAAACAACTCAGTACATTTACACATTATGGACACTAAAAAATGTTTATTTTTTATTTTAATAAATTTATTTTTTTTTCAAATCGAAATTTAAGATTTTAATGATTTAAAAAAACAGAAGAAAAAAAAAAGTGTTGGCTACTCCAGCACGGCGCCCCAGCCAAGCCGGCGCCCTAAGCGGTCGCAAAACTTGCATAGCGCTTGCGCCGGCCCTGAGTGTTTATTTTATTTTTGGAAATGGCAGGAGGATGGGTATGGAAAAAACTTACCTTCAAATGCGTAACAAATTAAAGTAGCAAGTAATGTATAATATTTTTAACCAAAAAACTTTTTTATTATATTAGAAAAAATGTATTTGTATACTTCAAATGCTCTCTTAATATCACAACAAAAGTCATAAGTTTTACAAATTTATGTATAATTTGAATAATAAATGCTAATAAAGTAATTAAACAAAAACAAATATAGGTATGATTTTAAATACAAAATATATGTAGTGTAGGCCTTTTTTTTTTAATTCAGCCATATTAGTTTATATTAGACCCTCCCTCAACGTCACAGAAATCAGCAATTTTAGACAAAAAATTGACATTTTTTCACAAAAATGAGCCTTGAGAGGAGAGTCTAGACCGGTATGTTTTAAAACCTGTTTTCTATATATTTGCACCAAATTTAACGAGATACGTCTTTTTCTTTTGAAAATTCTCTCATTCTGAGGCACCCTAATATATATATATATATATATATATATATATATATATATATATATATATATATATATATATATATATATATATATATATATATATATACATATAAATATATATATATATATATATATATATATATATACATATATATATATATATATATATATATATATATATATATATATATATATATTATATATATATATATAGATATAAATATATATATATATATATATATATATATGTACATATATATATATATATATATATATATATATATATATATATATATATATATATATATATACATATAAATATATATATATATATATTTATATATATATATATATATTATATATATATATATATATATATATATATATATATATATATATATATATATATATATATATATATATATATATATATATATATATATATATACATATATATATATATATATGAAGACGTCCAAAATATGTATATATATATATATATATATATATATATATATATATGTATATTATATATATATATATATATATATATATATATATATATATATATATATATATATATATATATATATATATATTTATATAAATATATATATATATATATATATATATATATATATATATATATATATATATATATATATATATATATAGATATAAATATATATATATATATATATATATGTACATAATATATATATATATATATATATATATATAAATATATATATATATATATGTACATATATATATATATATATATATATATATATATATATATATATATATATATATATATATATATATATATATATATATAAATATATATATATTTATATATATATATATATAGATATATATATATATATATATATATATATATATATATATATATATATATATATATATATATATATATATATATATATATATATATAAATATATATATATATATATACATATATATATATATATATATATATATATATATATATATATATATATATATATATATATATATATATATATACATATTTTGGACGTCTTCAATAACAATTTAAATTAAAAGAAGAAAAATTTAAAAATAACTTAAGGCATAAAATATTTTGCGCTAACTCGGTTAATTAAAAATGTCTGCATTGTTTGGTTGATTAATTTGATATTATTAACTTTGTTTAGTTATTTCGCAGTGGCTACGGGTACGTCTAGACATATCTTTAATAAAAAAAGTTAGAGATACGTCCAAACATTCGGACGCAGAGAAGCATTTTGTTAAACTTTAATTTTAGAAATCAAAGATTTGTGTTAACAATGGCTTTGAATGTTGGTGATAAGTTTAACTCTTTAAAAGAGTTAGAAATAGCCAATAAGAACTATAAAGTAGAATTTAGCGTTTTTTTATATAAACGAGAGAGTAGATCCATTGCATCTGCAAGAAAAAAAGGCATCAGGCGAACCTTAAACGACGATTTGTTGTTTTATAGCATGCATTATGCATGCTATCATGGAGGGAAAAATTTTAAAAGTCGATCAAATGGAAAGTGTCCAAATCAAAGGTATATGTTATTTAAAATAAATTTATATTACAAGTAATATAAAATCTATCTTATATATGTTAAAGCAAAATTTATATTACTTGTAATATAAATTTATTTTAAATAACATATACCTTTGATTTGTACACTTTCCTTTTGATCGACTTTTAAAATTTTTCTATTAGAATTTCTAATCATTCTATTAGAATGTAGACACGCTCAAAAATGAAACTTAAATTTGTTAAAATAAGTTAATTCTCCTAATTATTATCATTATTTTTTTGATTTATTTAAATAATTTAAATATATCATAGCATTTATAATTTAATATGTAAAAAAGTTTAAATACTTGAAAAATTCTCATCATTTCGAAATGAATATGTTTATATTATTAATATAAACATATTCCTTTCAAAAAGATTAGGATTTTAATAAGCTGTTGGTCAACTTGATTTATTTATTATCTTTACTTTTACCATGCAGTGTAGGCATATTAAAGTTTCTTTTACTAAAATCCTTTTTTTTTTTCTAGTGAAACTTTAAACTTTGGTTTTTAAAACTTTTTATGTCAAAAAAAAATGATTATGTCATAAATGACTGTATTAAATAATTTTTATTTATTTCCTATTGATAGCGCATTCCAGATAGATTGCCCATATGAAATCTGGATAAATGTATCTGACAACGGTTCACAATTATGCATCCAAAAGTTGGTAGTAGAGCACAATCACGTTGACAAAGTCAGTATTTTACTTATCTTAAATTAAACTATTTTTATTAGCTATGTGGAAGTTATCGATATATGAAAACGCTATGAAAAGTTAGACCCAAATTTTTTTTTTTTTTCCACAAAAAAATGTGTATCTTGCTAAATATTTTTCATATTATTAACAAATTATATATCAAAATAAAGCTTCGAGTATATTAAACAAAAGTAGAGTTATAAATGTAAAACTAAATATTGAGTTAGAAATCTGAAAATAAATATAGAGTTTTATATGTAAAAAAAAAATGATGATATATTTTACCTATATTTTTTCTATAACAACTTAAAAAAAAAATTATATGAAAAATATAATAAGCTATGAACTGAAATCAAAATCTATAGGTTGTTCAGTAAAGCCATCAAATCTGATAATACTAATACGCTAATTTAATAGTAGTAGTTAATAGTCGACTTACGTCATTCTATTTTAAAGTAGTTTCTAAGCTTTTTTATACACGGTTTTTTTTTTTTTAATTTTATTTACTAACAATTTTATTTACTAACTTACTTTTTTAATTTTATTTACTAACCTGTATTACGGGTTGCTTACTGCTAGTTTGTTTAATTAGTAAATTGTTTGTTTTAAATTTTAAACTGTGACAAAGTTACGAAGTTTTTAAGCGAAATATAAAATAAGTGTTTTGCACCAATCAAATTTTAATAAAACTACCTTGTGACCCGCAAAACTTTACTATGCAAACTCAGGGTAACAACACTTCAAAAATTTGTATATTCACAACAATACCTTGTGTGTTTGGAAAAACCTAAACTTAACATGGGCACATTAGATTTGCTTTAAATTTTGAGGATAGGTAGTTTAATAAATATTCTAAAGGAGCCTTTGAATTTAAGAAGGACCTTTACTTATTTTAGGAGTTGTGGTTTATAGAAAAACATCAAAGATTTAAAATATAAAATTACACTATATATTATTTACAAAAATAACCATGAAATAAATCAAGTTATAGGTTGAACTTTTTTTAAAATAAATAAAAAATTTCTTTTCATTTGGCTCACAAATAGCGATACAGCCTGGTTTAGCCTAATTCAGCTTTTTGCCAAATTAAAAAAAATGTGGTCCACTTTTTATAACGTTTTTTTACGTCGAAATAATAAATATAAAATATATATATATATATATATATTTATATATATATAATATATATATATATATATATATATATATGTATATATATATATATATATATATATATCTATATATGTAGATATATATATATATATATATATATATATATATATATATATATATATATATATATATATATATATATATATATATATATATATATATATATATATATATATATATATATATATATATATATATATATAGAGGGTTCCCACTACTAAAACTGGGGCTAAAAATAAGTATATTAAGGAGATTTAAGTAGATATTTTTCTATTATTTAAGGAGATTCAGTCGCAAACGACAACTTTTTGAAGAAAAAAGTAAGGAAAATTAAGGAGAAAACAATTACACTAAAAACAATTACACTAAAAATTTTAAATATAAATAGATTTCTCATAGTTGCAGTATCATCGAAAGAGACGTTATGTTTCCTTACATGGTTTTAATACTATTTTTCCTGCGAGTAACAATAGCCGATGTAGGAGCCAATGGCATAACTTTAAGTTGTAACGGATCTCAACCAGCAGTAAGAATAAACGGTATACTTATGAGAAGCCTGGCATGCGATGTAAAATCAGAGCGAAATTTCATTGGTTGCAATAAAGATATGTTACAAGATTCAATATTGAGAGCGTGTCCAACTACAGTGGCGTGTTATTACTATTGTTATTAGTATTATTATTATATGTGATGTTAATATTACTTACATTTTATTTGCATTTTTATTACCGCCATTATTACTTATTGGAATTGTTTAATATATGAATGTGATATTTGTTAATATTATTATTGTTGTTACTATTGTTGTTAACTTCATTACTATTATTATTACTACTATTATTGCTTTTGTTATTATAATTACTGATATAATCATTGTTATTGTCATTATTATATTTAATAGTATTATTGGTATTATTATAATCGTCTTCGTTTAATTTACATTATTATTATTGTTATTATTGCTATTATTATTATAATTATTACAACTGCTATTATTGCTATTATTATTACTATTTTTATTATTGCTATTATTATTATTGCTTTTATCATTATTATTATTATTATTATTATTATATGATTGGTATTATTATTTAATTGGTGTTTACCTTTGATTAGTACTCGTATTATTAGTAAACTACCATGAAATGTAAACTATTATTACAGAATATATATTGTTGTTGTTGTTGTTGTTGTTTGTTGTTGATCTCAACCAGCAGTAAGAATAAACGGTATACTTATGAGAAGCCTGGCATGCGATGTAAAATCAGAGCGAAATTTCATTGGTTGCAATAAAGATATGTTACAAGATTCAATATTGAGAGCGTGTCCAACTACAGTGGCGTGTTATCCGATATTCAACCTTCTTCAGGAATTAGCAAGTAAAGCTATCGAAAATGCACAAAAAAGAAAATTATTTTTAAAATACTCCGAACAGGCTGCTAAAATGATATTTGACATACGTGGCGACGAGTAAATCGCATTGTTTATAAAAGCTGATTCTAATGTTAAATACGTCTGAACATTTAAAATCTTTTCTCTATATATATTAAATTAAAAAGTCCCATGAGAATATACTGTTAATTACAGTTGAAATAACTTACGTAGATGCGTGACTTTCAACACGCATCTACGTGATTTCTAACACGTACAATTCACCAACATAATAATAGAACATGCCCTCTTGGTGAATTAACTCATGTCTAATCTTTGTGGGGGCTTTACTGTTCGTCCGGAGCGTGTTACTTGCAGCACGTTGAGTTCTTGAGAATCATTTTGAACTTGAGCGACATCATCATTATAACTTCCTTTAACGTTATCAGTTTTATCGTTTCGTCTATAAAAAACATCGTTGACTGATTCATTTGAACTCTGTACGTCTGTACGGCGACGCAGGTTTGAAATGTGACGCGGATATACCCGATTCGCAGTTTCCACGTCAAACGACAAAGTATTTTGCTTTCGTACTACGCCTGGTATCCACGGCTGGTCACATTTTGTTTCTTGAGTTGGTTTTACCCAAACATTGTCACCAACTTTGAATTTCTTGCTTACGCCTTTCTCGTCTACCTTCCTCCGAGTATCGACGCCTGGGATGAAACATGTCGATCTTTTCTTGAATTGCTTGGATTGACTTTCAGTACAATTGGATGATATTGTCTCGTTGTACAGCAAGACTGCCAGAGCGATTGAACAATGTGAGCGAGCGACCGTTCTTTTTATCGTTCTGTGTATACGTTCAACTATACCATTACCTTGAGCTCGATGTGCTGCTCGATATTCCAAATTAACATGCCATTCTTCAGCAAAACTTGTTAACGTGTTGGACCGAAATCCGATATTCAACCCTCTTCAGGAATTAGCAAGTAAAGCTATCGAAAATGCACAAAAAAGAAAATTATTTTTAAAATACTCCGAACAGGCTGCTAAAATGATATTTGACATACGTGGCGACGAGTAAATCGCATTGTTTGTAAAAGCTGATTTTAATGTTAAATACGTCTGAACATTTAAAATCTTTTCTCTATACATATTAAATTAAAAAGTCCCATGAGAATATTCTGTTAATTACAGTTGAAATAACTTACGTAGATGCGTCAACACGCATCTACGTGATTTCTAACACGTACAATTCACCAACATAATAATAGAACAGAACTACTATTATGTTGGTGAATTGTACGTGTTAGAAATCACGTACAATTCACAAAAACACGTAGATGCGTGTTGAAAGTCACGCATCTACGTAAGTGCGTGTTGAAAGTCACGCATCTACGTAAGTTATTTCAACTGTAATTAACAGTATATTCTCATGGGACTTTTTAATTTAATATATATAGAGAAAAGATTTTTGTATAAGATGTTAGAAAGAATATATAAAGCTATAGATTATAAATACAAGATGAACCAAGAGCACGAGCGTAGTTACCGTAAAGAAATACGTGAATGGATTGACTCTGGTATTCTTGTACCATATAACGAACTAATATTGGGACCACCAAAAGTATTGATACCGCTTATGTGCGTAGTGCAAGAAAACAAGGACAAAAAGGTACGTCCAGTGGGAGATTTCCGAGCTCTCAACGAATTTGTAAATTGTCATACGGCAAATGCGGACGTTGGTCAAAAAAAACTGCGTTGCTGGAGAAAAATAAAAAATGCAAAAATTCTCGATCTTAAAAAAGCCTACCTCAAAATTCATATTGATAAAAAACTTTGGCCATATCAAACGGTGATTATATATGGGCAACGGTATTGTTTTACCAGGATGTGTTTTGGCATCAATGTGGCTCCAACAATAATGACCACAATTCTTTGGCATGTGCTCAATTTAAATCCAACCGAAAAAAAAGCATGTTATAACTACATTGATGATATATTTGTGGATGAAAGTGTGGAAACTGCGAAAAATGTAGCGAAGCATCTGCTTAAATTTGGGTTACAATGTAAACCTCCACAAGATCTTGAACAAGGACGTGTCTTAGGATTGAGAGTCGAAAGAAATAAAAATGGGGAACTGATATGGAAATGAGACAGTGTGGTACAATTCGAATCTTTAAATGCAGTCACACGATCACAGCTTTTCAGCCAGTTAGGCAAACTTATTGGACATTACCCAGTGGCAGGAATTTTGCGTTTACAAGCTTCATACATCAAACGTTTAGCTGGAAATATACCTTGGTGTGATTTTATTTCTGAAGATTGTAAAGAAAAACTGAAAGAGTTGCTTTACCGTGTGGAAAAAGAGGATCCGGTTGGTGGAAAATGGCTGGTACCAGTTAATGGGAAAGCTGAGCTTTATTGTGATGCATCATCTATAGGACTTGGGGTAGTTCTGCTCATTGGTGGAGTATTTGTTGAAGACGCAGCATGGCTACGGCCAGCGAGTGACACACACCAGATCAATATAAGTGAACTGGATTCTATACTTCGAGGACTAAACTTAGCTAGTAAGTTGGGCATCAGTGTTAGGGTTAGGGTCAGGGTTAGGGGTAGGAATAGGGTTTTAAAAAATAGTATTAAAACCATGTAAGGAAACATAACGTCTCTTTCGATGATACTGCAACTATGAGAAATCTATTTATATTTAAAATTTTTAGTGTAATTGTTTTTAGTGTAATTTTTTTCTCCTTAATTCTCCTTACTTTTTTCTTCAAAAAGTTCTGAATCTCCTTAAATAATAGAAAAATATCTCCTTAAATCTCCTTAATATACTTATTTTTAGCCCCAGTTTTAGTAGTGGGAACTCTCTCTCTCATTCTCATCTATCTATATATATATATATATTATATTTATTATTTCGACGTAAAAAAAGTGTTATAAAAACTGGACCACATTTTTTTTAATTTGGCAAAAAGCTGAATTAGGCTAAACCAGGCTGTATCGCTATTTGTGAGCCAAATGAAAAGAAATTTTTTATTTATTTTAAAAAAAGTTCAACCTATAACTTGATTTGTTTCATAGTTATTTTTGTAAATAATATATAGTGTAATTTTATATTTTAAATCTTTGATGTTTTTCTATAAACCACAACTCCTAAAATAAGTAAAGGTCCTTTTTAAATTCAAAGGTTCCTTTAGAATATTTATTAAACTACCTATCCTCAAAATTTAAAGCAAATCTAATGTGCCAATGTTAAGTTTAGGTTTTTCCAAACACACAAGGTATTGTTGTGAATATACAAATTTTTGAAGTGTTGTTACCCTGAGTTTGGATAGTAAAGTTTTGCGGGTCACAAGGTAGTTTTATTAAAATTTGATTGGTGCAAAACATTTATTTTATATTTCGCTTAAAAACTTCGTAACTTTGTCACAGTTTAAAATTTAAAACAAACAATTTACTAATTAAACAAACTAGCAGTAAGCAACCCGTAATACAGGTTAGTAAATAAAATTAAAAAAGTAAGTTAGTAAATAAATTGATTTAGATCACCAACAATTTAAATTAATCGATTAAGGAAGACAATGTTAATATTTTTGTTTATAAAATATTAAAACGATGTTTTGAACCCTATAAAGATAACAGGTTTTTTTTTAATTTTTAATTACTCAAAAAAATTTTATCACCCTGCCCTTAACCACAACCTATACTTTAAAGGTACCAAGCAAACATTCTCGATTTTAAAAGTTTATTTTCTGTTTGCCAGCAAAAGCGTTTGAAAATTAACTACACAAACCATACAAAAGGTCTTTTTTGTTTTATTTTTTTATAAATTTTCTTTTAAATGATTGCAAAATAATACACTTCACTGTCACCTTGATGTTTAGAGATAAAAATTTTCAATTGATTGGTTGCATTTTTTTAACTAAAATACTTTTCAAAAATTTATAATCTCCAGTTTTCTTATGCTTCTTAGTTTATTATATTTATCAAAAAAAATTACCCTACATATGATGATGCAATTTTGTTACGTGACATTTTTTATATTCAAGAAATAATGTTCTCATACACAAAGAACTTTTGTATTTGTATAAGATTGAGCACAAATGTGTTTTGCCGTCTCCTGAAGATGACCAATACCGCTAAAGAGGAGTCGGAACAGGCAGATTTGGGCTGTGTGGTACTGGGGCGATGGAAGAAGGTATGTTCGGATAAACGGTCTGAGGAGCATTTTTCGCCGGTGCAACAATTTTTTGGGTTTATTATGCAGAAAAAGCAGTTGCTTGAGTAGTCCGT